GATTGCTTAGGAAATCCCAGTAGAAGAAAAGCCTACATCAACCAGTGCAATTGGAAGAGAATATGTATTTTCTACACTATTGTTACTGAAGCATACAGTATTTTCTGAATTAAACTCAGAATAGTAGTAGATTGATAGCCCTGGTTTGTTTTGTTTTTTATGTTTGGATACATGGCCCAGGCTGGGCTGGAACTCCATGATCCTCCTTCTTCTTTGCAACTGCCCCATTTGCAGGCATGTGGCACTAAGCGCTCTACCACTTGAGTCACAGTGCCACTTTTGGTTTTCTGGTAGTTTATTGGAGATAAGAGTTTCATGGCCTTTCCTGCCCGGGCTGGCTTTGAACCGTGATCCTCAGATCTCAACCTCCTGAGTAGCCAGGATTACAGGCGTGAGACACCAACACCCGGCACAGTAGCTGGGTCTCATAAAGTCTCTCCATTCAACCTCTCAAAATGTTGCTTCTTTGTGTCTTGCAATCAAATTCCCATATAACAAATTAACTTCATCTGTTCTTAACTCTTAATATTCAGCCTGTTAAAAAGGATTTCAATTCTTGGTCAGTGTCCTGTTTGTTAGTTGTTTTGGTTGTGTTGAACACCAAATTCAGGACCTTGTACATGCTATGTAAACACACTATCATTGAGCTACATTACATTCCCTACTTTTTTTTTTTTTTTTTTTTTGTGAGCCAGGGTCTTGCTTTATAGCACAGTCTGGCCTGAAACTCTGCCTCCTGAGTGCTGGATTAAAAACAGTCACCACCACCACACTTGATTGGTTAGATTGTTTTTTCCAACAAACTCTAAGGAAAAGTTTATCTGAAACTTGTAATGGAGCAACTACTAAATATATATCTGTTGAACTTTGGTAACAGATTGTGGTGAAAGTATTTGAAATTTTCAATTTAAATCCCATCTGGGGGGGGCAGGTGGTGGGGAAGGGATGGGAAGGGGAAACAAAAGAGGAGGCAACAATGCTTGATAAGAAATGTACTCATTATCTTGCCCATGTAATTGTAACCACTCTGTACGGTATTTTCACAATAAAAAAAAAAGAAAAAGAAATCCCTTCTGCTTTAAGAAGTGCTGAATTTCTCCTTGAATTATAGAAAGGCATTTGTTAGTTCTGACTTCATACTTATTGTGTAACCATTTATCCAAGAGATAGTGAATGATAAGTACAGAATGATTACTTTGTGGAGGAGAAATCTTCAATTACCAGGAGACTGGACACTGTATATCCATGGGCAAACTGATAGGTGCCAAGGACATACAGGCCTTTTGGCCCTTAGTGGGAACTAAGCTGCCTGCAGATTTTCAGAAGTGGCAGGTGACCTAGTTGGCATGTGGCATGCCTGTATGTACACTGTATTGTACTTTCCT